ACAAGCCAGGCCTCTATTGTCCACAACTCTTTCAACAGAACTATTCAAGCTCCATAGCAACAAACTCTGAGCACTCAGTGGCTTTTCCAGCCCAAAGTTCAGAACGCTTCCACAATCCTCCCAAAAACACCAAGGTCAGGTCTGTCACAGCAATATCTCACTGTCTGGCACCAATTTCTGTCTTGGTTTGTTCTTCATTGCTGTGACAAAACACTCTGACCACTACCAACTTGGGGAGGAAAGGGTTTATTCAGCTTACATCTCCCAGGTCATAGTTCATCAGGGAGCCCAAGGTAGGAGCTCAGGGCAGGAGCTGGAGCACAAGCCATGGAAGAACGCTGCTTACTGGTTTGCTCCCTGGCCCCTGCTCAGCCTTTCTTATGCAACACAGGCCCACCTGCCCAGGGGTGGCACCACCCACAGTGGGCTGGGCCCTCCCATATCACTCATCAAGAAGATGCCCCTCAGACATGGCCACAGACCAGTCCGATAGAGGCAATTCTCCAACTGAGGCTCCCTCAACCCAGGTGTATCAAGTTGACACTAAAGCTATCCAGCACAGGACTCCTTAGCAAGACTCTTCATGGTTCTGTAATTGGTAAATGTTGTAAACTGACCAAAAATGTAGAGGCCACTGTTTATATTTTCATCCACTTCCACTTGGGAGGTACCCTAAAATTGGAAGCATCATTTACATTCTTTTACTTTTGTACTTACTACTCAGTAAATAAAAGTTTGTGAAAGTAAAATGAAAAAGCTCATGTTTGTGTGGTTCTCAAAACCTCATAATTGTTAAGGTCAGAGGGACAAATTTTTGTTCCTGGCCCTACAAGGTCAAACAAGTTCCAGGGGCTATGGAGCATCTCTCAAAATGTCCTGTAACTTTGGAGAGCCACCTTTCCTCTTGTTCAGGGAGGCCATGGAGACCCCAGAAGAGGGACTTGAACCAGTGTCCAGTCTGCAAAGAGGAGGGTCAACACAGAGGAAACATTTCCTCCGTGCTTCCAAGTGAAGCCCTGGTCAAGCAGGACCTCTTGACTTATCTTCACACAGATGGAACTGGTAAAGAAAAGCCTGAGGAGAAGCCCATGTGACCCCACAGGACCAAATCCTCATACGACCTTAAGAGTAAAAATAAATTGGTTTATTTG